AATTTTTTTATGAGAAATAATATTTTTTAATAAACCCTTTTTCATTCGACATACTTTATCTTAATCAAGATATTAATAAGGAACCAGCAGATCAAGTAGCTTTTGGAATAAAACACCAATTTTTTTAAAATTAAACACTATCTAAAGATTTGCATCGAAGCGTTTATTTTTGATAGTGATTTTAATCACTGTCAGATATCATTATACTTGAATCAACTATGCCACGTCACAATTGTGCAGCGACCCCCCTGTGCTGGGTTTTTTTAAACTTAATTTTCGAAAATGTTCCGAAAATACTGATACTTTTCTATATTTATACTTAAAGCTTATGTAATATACTTCAATATGAAAAAAAATTTCGAACTTTATTTTGTTTTTATGGTGAAAACAACACATCAAAGTTATGAAAAAATACGATTTTTGTAAAAAATTACAATATTAAATTATTAAATATCCATTTCATAATAATTTTAATTGCTATGATAAATTTATTTATTTATTTATATATTACACTTATAAATCATAAAACTTGTAATCAGAATATAAATAAGGAAATAGGACATCATGTTGCTTTTGGAATAAACCACCAATTGTTTTAAATTAAACGCTATCTACAGATTTTCATCGAATTGTTTTTTATAATAGTGATTTTAATCACTGTCAGATTAAATCTATACTGGACCAAACTATGCCACTGTTCCGCGACCTTACTGTCCTGGTTTTTTTTTTTTTATCTAAGATTACTTACACAATGGTATTTGGTTTGTAAAAATTAAAGAAAATGATTATATCACTTTCCGTTATTGATAAATATTGTATTATTATTAACAAAATCTGAGCGTACGAATAAAATTTATTTATTTAATAATAATAATTTAATAATATGCCCATTCAATTCACAATAAAGTTTTTTTATGTATTTACCTAGTATTTCTATGCTTGGTTTTTTTTATTTGAAAGGTCTTTTTTTTTTGTACAAAAAATAAAATAGAATAAGCTGGTAAAAATATCGATGCATTATAGATGTGTTAATTCGCAGAAAAAGAAATAAGGAATTTGATCATAATCACGTGATCATAATCATGTGATCATAATCATTAAGTTTTCTTATGGCTGTTTATTTTTATTAATAATACTTATTTTTGATGAATATCTAATACAATTACTTCATGTTTGAATAATGTAATAATACATTTTCGAGAGAATAAAATAGTCGCTATTTTAGAAAAAATATCATTAGAAAATTATTCATTTGACAAACATACAAGGAATTTAAAGAAAAAATAATGTATTTCAAATTTGTGATCTATTTTATTTTAATTGTTCTACTTATACAATTTACATCAAAGGTAATTTTTAAATATGTTTTTTAAAAACTTACAATGAAACATTATTTTTTTTAGGAATGATATATCATTTAAAACTTAATTGCCGAATTTATCATCACTGGCTCTTAGTATACTCAATAATTATATTACTTTTCACTTAACTTGTTATCTTTAATATACACCCAAAGAAAAACCTCAATCAAAATTGAAAGAGAAATTTTATCAAGGGTATATGATAATGTTTTATTAATACGAACAAAATAACTATTCTTATAAATAATTATTGTTCAAGACAAGAAAAAAAAATATCATATTGATAAATATATCATTGATTTAATAGTAATGATATATTTATCAAATTGAACAATGAATTTATTATATAGATCGAGGTTTTTCTCTGGGTGTAGGTTTGATAGATTTTCACAATAATTCAGACACTTATAAAAACAAGGGCCCTAATCAATTCTTTAATTGTTTTTCTGAAGACAAAAAACTTATTTTATAAAATATAATTTAAATTATCTTCATCAATTTAGAATCTCCATCTTATTTAATACGTTCAAATTAATTTTTTTTCATTTAAAACTTTTAAAATGTTTAGGTTGGGCCCTTATAGATGTCTCGATTTCTATGTACGCTTTGATATTAACAACAATCATTAAATTATTCATAGAATAAATATAAAATTGAATNCTGGTAAAAATATCGATGCATTATAGATGTGTTAATTCGCAGAAAAAGAAATAAGGAATTTGATCATAATCACGTGATCATAATCATGTGATCATAATCATTAAGTTTTCTTATGGCTGTTTATTTTTATTAATAATACTTATTTTTGATGAATATCTAATAAAATTACTTCATGTTTGAATAATGTAATAATACATTTTCGAGAGAATAAAATAGACGCTATTAAAAAAAAAAATATCATTAGAAAATTATTCATTTGACAAACATACAAGGAATTTAAAGAAAAATAATGTATTTCAAATTTGTGATCTATTTTATTTCAATTGTTCTACTTATACAATTTACATCAAAGGTAATTTTTAAATATGTTTTTAAAAACTTACAATGAAACATTATTATTTTTAGGAATGATGTATCATTTAAAACTTAATTGCCGAATTTATCATCACTGGCTCTTAGTATACTCAATAATTATATTACTTTTCACTTAACTTGTTATCTTTAATATACACCCAAAGAAAAACCTCAATCAAAATTGAAAGAGAAATTTTATCAAGGGTATATGATAATGTTTTATTAATACGAACAAAATAACTATTCTTATAAATAATTATTGTTCAAGACAAGAAAAAAAAATATCATATTGATAAATATATCATTGATTNTATAATTTAAATTATCTTCATCAATTTAGAATCTCCATCTTATTTAATACATTCAAATTAATTTTTTTTCATTTAAAACTTTTAAAATGTTTAGGTTGGGCTTTATAGGTGTCTCGATTTCTATGTACGCTTTGATATTAACAACAATCATTAAATTATTCGCAGAATAAATATAAAATTGAAATATTTTTTACGTTTATACTTATATTTATATTGAAATAATCAACATTTCAATGTGAGCAGTGACTGTTTATATTTAGGCAGTTTTTAGTCGCGATTTTCTTAATGATTTAATAATTTTGAGTTTAAGGTGTTAAAAATAATCTAAAAATCTGGTATATATCTTGGTACAAGAATACTGAAGTTCAATTTTGTTGTGCTAGTTTTTTTAGGCTTAAATATATTTAATTTATTTATATACAATGTGATTTTTTTATCATGACCCACTCAATTACTTACAGAATAAATATATTTAAACATTTTTTTGGTTATATTTAGTTACACATTATTCTTGAATTATTAACTAAGTAATACTTTTTAAGTTCATCCCTTATACCTTGTAAGGGGGTCAACTTTGTTTTTTTAAATGGTAACACATATTTTTATTTTAATAAAATGTTTGAGTTTTTAATTTAATAGTAAATGGCATTTGAATTTTTAACATAACTTTATTCATTTATTAAATATAAACATTTGAAACTTTAAATGTTTATATCTAATAAGCTAATAAAGTTATATTAAAAATTCAAATGCCATTTACTATTAAATTAAAAACTCAAACATTTTATTAAATTAATAATATGTGTTACCATTTAAAAAAACAAAGTTGACCCCCTNTCAAATGCCATTTACTATTAAATTAAAAACTCAAACATTTTAACATTTCAACAAGGCCAAAGGGATGAATATGAAAAGTTTTAAATAGTTAATAATTCATGTGTAACTAAAGAAAATAAAAAAAAAATGTTTAAATTATATACATATATTAATGTATATTCGGCAAGTAATTGAGTGGGTTATGATAAAAAAATCATCTTGTATGTATATAATATCCACATATTTTTATCATTTTTTTTTTATATTTTAGACGAACGCGATTACATTGCAAGAAGTTCAAAAACGTCTTTTAAATTTGTACCATTTTGTTTCCGATAAATCATACGATTCAAATATTTTTAAAGATATAGATAATAATGATGATTACAAAAACTATGAAGAGTTCGTTAATCATTTTAAACTACTATGTAAGTATTATAGTATTTACTGTATAAATAATAACAAAGAAAAACAAGTAATGTTCATCAAAAATAAAAATACTTTTCTGAACCAATATTACGCGTTAAATCTACAAGTATAATATTTTCTAGCGCCTCTATTTTTTTAAAATAATTACTACACAGTAAAAACAAGGAATTACAAATAAAAAAAAAAAAAAATTTTCCAAATTATTATTGATTTAAATTTTTAATATAACATGTTTACCTTATTTTTTTAGTATTTTAAAGGTGATTTTTTGGCTCAACTTACAACCTTAAATAAACCTTAACATCAATAAATAGAAAATTTATGAGAATTTAAATATATTATTGTTTAGATTAATATTTGGTCAGAATTTATATAATTACTATTAATAGTAAATTTATGCTAAAATCTCAACATTGTTGTAAAGTAAACACAGGTGTCCCAAATTTATAAGAGCATATTTATATGTATTGAAATATTTTTTCTCGCGCAATAAATTGCAAATCAATTTTTGAGCGTATTATAATAGCAATTTGTTAAGAATATAAAAAAAAATACATATACGTGAGTTCAGTACGTTGTGCAATACTAACCAAATTCTAAATTAAAAAAATGTTAAAATGGTTGTATAATACACTCAAAAAATTTTATGCAATTTGTTGAAGGTAGAAAAATTTTTTAAATAAAATATAGATTAAAATGAAATCTAAAAACACATCAGTGACACAAAATATACAAAAATCAAACTAGATTAAAACAGTTTTATCGTGTGTTAAAAATCTAGAGGTGAGAGAAAAAAATCTAATTGCAGATTTCAAGTTGGTGCGAAATATTGATTATGAATAAGTATATTTTTATAACTAATGATGAGAAAAAGTTTCATTTTGTTGATCAGTGTAGTTATTAAAAATAATAATAATTGCTTCATGCAGAACCAATTAATAAAGTATTAATTATTCGAAGATAAATTACCCACAAATTATATTTTATATACTATTAAAATTAAAGTTTCTTAAATTTTAATTATTCTAGTCAAAATAATACTAGAAAACTGTGATAAAAATTTAATAGCATACAAAGAAGTTGTTAATGAAATGGAAAAAATTCAGAAAACAATTTTTCAATATGCTGATATTGATAATGATAAATTCGTTTCCATCGAAGAGCTACAAATGATGATAAAAAATAAACAACCTAAACTATCTAGTAAATCTCTCGATGAATTATTTCAAGAAATCAAGGTATATGATATTGACAATGACGGGAAAATTAATTATGACGGTAATTTATTCATCAGTTAATTGTTATTATTTAATATATAATATTAAATATTATTAATATTAATTAATATATTAAATTTATTAATACTTCGAATATCAATTTACTAAATATTTTTTTTATTTACTTCATATATTTAGAATTTTCCAACTTCATTAATTCATGGACCCCAAAAATTTTCAGTCTTGGACTATTGTCAAAATTTCGATTCGAGAAGCTCAACAAAAATTGAACTTTTACCATAATTATGATTCTGTATTATGTAATATAAAGTGCAAAAGAGAGCGAAAAGAAGACAGGAACAACCTACTTATTTCAATATAATTATATTTTATTATTGAAATCTGTATATTTTAAGACAAAAATAGAATAAATGACATAAAGAAGTTTATTTACATTATATTTATTGTGTTTATTTATATTATATGTAAGTATTTGAGAAAAAATTATCCGGAAAAAGTACCATAAAAAAACTGGATATCAAAATTCCATAAAAAAATTTATATTTTCTTATAAACGACAATATTTATTAGTATCTTACAGAGAAAAACTTAATTTGCAAAATATATTTATCATTACAGCAGTTTTAATAAGAATAATAACAACATTTGTTTAAACACTATAAAAATTAGCGGAGATATATAAAATATATTTATATAATTACAAGTAGGAGTATAGTAAGAGTAATATCATAATATATATAAATTTAATAGTAGAAGCACATAATATCACTAATAATATAGTCAAAAATATTTAGATGAGCTAAATTACCAACTAACACTAAAACATTTGCTGAAGAGGTGATAGAATAATTAGAATTAATATTTTGTAAAAAAAAAAAACTTATTGTCATTATTATTAAAGGTATTTATTTTTAAGTTAAGCTTATCCAATAAAATTCCACAGTTTATTTTATTATGAAATAACTTAAATAGAAAAGATAAAATAAGAAAATTTCTAAGTTTTTTTAGCGATGTCTTGTTGAAATAATTTATAACTCTTGTATGGTCCCATACTGAAATCCTTATTTGGAAAAAACTCGCGTAATTATGCATCATTACTTTGTTTCCCAAAAATAGCTGCTTATTAGTTGGAACATCAAAAATGTGGGGATAAAAGTTCATGACCAATGATGTCAATAGAATTTATTAAACTTCTAAGAACCTTGGTACTTTAAATAAACACAAAAATGTTATTAAACGTTCCATATTAGATGCGATGGTATCGTAGCATAGAGCTTGGACAATATTTAATAAGCTCCAATCGTCTAACGCACAATAAACAGCATTAGTTTGTTCATATCCCGTCGAATTTTTCCAGTTTCGGTATATCAATTAATAAATCTAGATTTTTACTAGTTATCACAATTGGTAACCTATTAATGCCCGAGTCTTTTACATTTAAAGTTGGTAAAATCTTTCCATCCCAATGAACAGTGACATACATAGGAGGACAACTTTGAAAATTTTTTTTATTAAATTAGCTCGTTCAATTCGCATAGCATCACGGCATCTATGTATTGAAGATTTATTTATAATAAGAGAATCGACGTCATGACCTAAAACTTCAACTGTTGCTTGAATAATGTAAACTGCGTCTCGTGCGCTTATTTTACATCGATCTAACGCAGCTACGAGTTTCGGTGTTATGATATTTGTTTGACCCCTTTTATTCTGTTTTGCTAAAACATTAAAAGATTTTTCATTCTCAGATTCTATAGATGAAGAAGAACTTATAATTATATCATCTGATAAATAAGGTATACTTTGCGTAGAATATAAAGTAGATGGACCGGCTACTTGGTATTCACTAAGCCTTTCTGTTTCCCTAATCTGACGCTTTTTAGATCTTTCTTCTTTCTCTTGTAATTTTTGGTCGATGCCACCTAGACAACCAATTCGACCAGGAAGTCTATTATTTAGGATTTTAGTCGACGTAAGCGACTAAAATGGTATAAATATGAGTTCACTATACCTATTGCTGCGATTTGTAATAAATTTACGATTTCTAGAGTTATTTATAATATAAAAATAATAACAGTACATTAATCCAGTCATACCATAGTATTATCGCCGTACTTGTACGATAAGTGTTATAATGTACCAGATGATAACTAACAGAATCTAGCAATGAAATTCATATATTTAGTAAAAATCGTAATATGATCGAGTTATTTCAGCTATAGCAATAAAACTATCGGTTCAATGAAATTTGTACTTATTACCGGTATTTCTTAAAATTTAATTTTAAACAATTTTCGTATGAAATATTAGGTCGTATCACATATGGTTCGTCATATATGATGAAATATTCGTAAATATGCTAATTTCGGCAATTTTACGAAATATTATGTATTTTGACATTTTTCTAGAAAACTGATGGATTTAAAAGAAAAATTGTAAGGACTTAATTTATCCAAAACAATTAGATCTACAATTTAGTTTTTATATTTTTTTTTGTGAACGCGCTAATTTACTAGTTAATTACTAAAAACTATAAAAGTACCCCTTTTGGCCAATTTTCAACCCCAAGTCGGCACGGGTTAAACTTATCTGATCGGCCTGAATTTTTTTTAGCCACTTTTTATATGTATACACACAAATTTGGGGGGTGAGCCCGAAGAATTTCTAAAATTTTCAAAATAAGGGACACCCTAATATATATATAGCGTTATAATTTTTTTTTTAATCTCTTCAATATATTAACTTATGAATAAAATAATCAATAAAATCGAATTAATTTCTAAATAATTCATATTAATTCATATTTATTTTTACTACAATTCTATTATACAAATAAGAACAACTTGAATAAAAAAAATTTAAGTTCTATATAACTGCGTTTTGAGTTTTGTATTTAAACATTTTTGTGTTTATTTAAAGTACCAAGGTTCTTAGAAGTTTAATAAATTCTATTGACATCATTGGTCATGAACCTTTATCCCCGCATTTTTGATGTTCCAACTAATAAGCAGATATTTTTGGGAAACAAAGTAATGATGCATAATTCTCCAATTTTTTCCAAATAAGGATTTCAGTATGGGGCCAAAGCTCATTAGATACGCTAACCTGAACGTGTGTGTATTTTTTCGATAAATTTCAAAATTTAGTTCCTACTCTACTCTTATAATTAATAAATCCAAAATAAGCAATTTTCCACCTATGTCTTGTTCATATGTAAATTTAATACATAGGTAAAAAGAAATTAAATGTTAAATGAAGACCTCTATATTTAAATCTGGGTCTATTACTGCAAAAATATTATATTAAATAATATTATTCCATTATTGAAAAAAAAATTAAGAACAATTCAAGCTTATTTAAATTTCAAAATCGTTGTGAATGTGTTGAAACTTTCATGGATTGCCATATTATTTGAAAAGCTTGAGGATTTATCCATGTTTGCAGTTGATTGCTGACGTTTCGGACTCATTGCAGAGTCCATCTTTGGAGCGATAGTTACTGCTCGGTGGCTAAAACTATACTAGCGGCTTATCTTGTTATCAGTCTGTTTTTATACGTTAGTTGTTTATCATATCTGTTTATGACTTATGTTGTTTACGGTATCTTGATTTGCTGATGTTTTTGTTGACGACTTTGTTTTTGTTTATTGTTGTTGTTTTTGACATTCTTAGCATTTTGGTCTTCCTTTTCTGCACCGACAGATTTCCATTACGTTGATAGCAACTTTTTCTTGTATTGAAATGTTTTCAGTGCTGTTAGTTGATTTTCTTTTTGTCTGGTGTATGAAAGGTAACCAAGTTTTGCTTATATACTGCGGATTTTTCTGTCCTTTGGTAATCCACGTATTTTTCGTGTTCTTTTATTCTTGTGAAGCCGAACACGCTAAAAACAAAGGACATGACATCCAATTGGATAAAGTAAAAATACTAAACAAAGAAACTTATTTTGGCAAACGAATGTAAAAGAGGCAATAGAAATCGAAAACTGTCCAGAGAATTTCAACAGAGAAGACGGATGGCAAAAATTAAAAATAAATCTAACTTTTTATTCAATTTCCGTTAAATTCAGTTAGCTCTCATAAATATCAATGGATGCATCACTGTGATCCCCAACCACCCCTTTTTTCATAACTATGTAAAATATACAAAATTAAAAGAAATAAAGTTGTTAAAAATATTTAAAAAAATTATAGGGATTTAAATAAAAAAAAAACTAGTACATAGGGGGGACGTGGCATAGTTGGGTCCATTATAGATTTAATCTGACAATGATTAAAATCACTATTATAAAAAACGCTTCGATGCAAAACTGTAGAAAATGATTAATTTTAAAAAATTGATGGTTTATTCCAAAATCAACATGAAGTCCTATTTCCTTATTTATATTCTGATTACAAGTTTTATGATATATAAGTGTAATTTATGAATAAATATATACATGTATAAATATAGAAAAGTGTCAGTATTTCCGGAACACGTCCTAAAATTAAGTTGAAAAAGGTTTTTTTTTCTATATGTATTTTTTTAGAGATTTCCTACTTTTAAGAGGAACGAGGGAAATTTTTTCAATTTTTGAGCGTACTATCTTCGACTAGATACGATTTGTGATCTTTTTCGTATCGTTAAAAGAAATTGGTTCGGTGAGAGCTAAGAAAGAGTGGTAACAGACACAAAAAAAACTCATCATAGTAAAATGAATTCATCTTCACATCGAAGCTAATAAATGATATAAAATTTAATTGTTGTTAACTATAAATATTTTTAAGAAGGATTTTTGCAAAACTTTAGTATCTTCCAATAAGTATATAAAAAAGGGGGTTCCCTCCTATTCAAAAAATTAGTTTTAAATGTAATTTACCTTTATTTAAGAGATACATTTATATATTTACGAGTTTTTATTGTTTTTTATTTTATTATTAAACTTGTTTTTTAAATAATTTATTCCATTTATAACTATGATTTATATATAATAATAAAAAAATCAATTGATTAATAATTAAAGATTTAAAAACATACAAATATTTCCAAATAAACAAAGTTTTAGAAATAATTCATAATATTTTAAACAATTAACTACAAACTCATAATTTGTTATATTAAATAAATATGTGTATATAGAATTTCATTTTTAGCTGGTAAAGCTACTATTTATTTAATTTAGAATGTTATAGACTATTGGTAACACAAATAGTGTTAAAAATTAATAAATTACAAAGTAAAATTATTTACTTTTGCAGTTGAATACTTTTATTATATAATATCTTATAAATACATTAAAAATACTAGAAATGAATCATTTTAATTGTTTGTATGGATAAAGCTGTTAATAGATAAAGGTACTTTTTATTTGATTAAGGGATTTTCTTTCAATTGTTGAGGGTAATATTTTCAACTAACTACGAATTGTAATCATTTGACATATCGTTGAAAAAGTAGGTTA